CGCTGCAGCCCTCTCATCCGTGGGGGATTAGGGCTGGGTTAGGGATTTAATCCCACTGCTGGGGCTTTTCTGGGTCGGTGACATGGTTTGCGAGGCGCTGATTAGTGCGCGTCGTTAGCGCAGCACGGATAATTAACACAGCCGGTGCCACATGCCAGCGAGAGCTCCTGCGCCATCACTCCTGCCATGGACACGGGGACCCCTGTGGGGTCTGGCGGGGGTTTTGGGCAGCAGAGCAGCTGCCTGGGGTCACAGAGGGAATCCCTGCCCTGAAGAAGCAAATCCAGGGGTTAAAGATGGAATTTTCTGACTGCAGTGCTGGAATTAACCCTGAATGCACAGGGAGAGCTCCTCCAGCCCACTGGCTGCACTGGGGTGAACTGGGAGCAGCCCAGCAGGCTGCTGGTCCCTCCCTGCTGCCCAGACGGAGGATGTCAGGTCCATCATCCTGCCTGTGCCATGATGGGCTTGGGGACCCCAAGGGACAGACCATATGTCCATCCACACCAGGGAGCAGTTCAGCACAGGGAGATGCCCAAGGTATGGACCAACAGCATCACCCGGCCCCACGGTCACTCCAAGGAGGTGATCCCATGGACTCTCAGCCTCCCAGCTTTGAGCAGTTTTCCAAGCAGACACAGACACACTTACAGGGTGTATCCATCATCTACCACTGGATAAAGCCAGAAGTCACACACTGGGCTGGAGGCTGTGCTGGGCAACCTGAGGCTGCTCAGAGCAAGTGCTCAGCATCCTCTGAGTTAACATGGAAACAGTGTGGGGAGTGTGGATCAATCACAGCAGCATTCCCATGGAGCAGAGGGGTCTCAGTACTCCACAGGGAAGCTGGAGGCAGAGGAGCAACTCTGGGGAAGCACATCTTGTGTCCAGGCAGCTCATTCCAGCACAGGCACCCAAAGGGCTCCAGATAAACCAACTCCACCAGGCAGATGCCACTCAGAGTCTCCACGAGCCCAGTGTGGCCGCAAGGAGAGGCAAGAGGTTACTTAAGCAACTGGCACACAACACAGGGCCACCCCAAAAGTGCTGCTGAGCCAAAGCACAGCCCTGAAGGGATCCACAGGGAGAAATCCTGCTGGGACTGGAGGATGCAGCCTCTGGGATGCTGCTGGGTGTCCTGGAGGGACTTAAACTGACAGCCTGGGGGCCCTTTCCTGGAGGAGAAGCAGCACAGGCTGTTGTCCACCTTACTCTGGCTCCAGCTCCATGTTTCACACTCTTGGAAGCCCTCCTGGCAGGCCTGAAGGATGGAGGGTGCTCTGTGCTGATGTCTCAGGTGCTGCTGCTCCTGGCAGGTTCATTCCCATGGGAAAGGAAAAGTTGGGTGGGAAATGAGTCTGCCTCAAAGGTGCTGGCATCCCTGCAGGACAGGCTGGGGTGGCCAGCAGTGACTCTCAAGGGCAGGTGAGTCCTTTGCTCCTGGGACTGCCTGCTCCAGGCAGTCCATTCTCACCAAATCCTGACGGAGCAGCATCTCCCACCCAGCACCACACCCCTGCTCCTCTCACCCTTCTTTGTCTGAGCTGCACTGGCCTAGCAGAGCCTTCCTGCACCCCTGCTCCTCCAAAACCTCAAGGGAAAACACAAACTAACCACAAATAACACAGGCAAGCCCAAGCCCTGCTGCTCCCCGCACTCCCGTTCCTTGAGGAAGCACAAAGCTCCGCCGTAGCATCCCCATTCCCATTAAAAACCTATTTCCATCACCACCCACAGCCCAGGGAGCTCTTCCTGACGCCCCAACTGGCTTCCTCAGCACATCCACACATCCCTCCTGCCTGCTGTCTCTGCTGAACGATGAGATGGAGCTTTCCCCACTCTTGGATGAGTCCACACAACTCAGCGCACTGCTCCGGATCTTTTGGGCCTCTCATCCCGGTAATTTGTTGCTTCTTATTTTCACACACCTCCCACTCCTCCCCCGTGGCAGATTGTGCCTTGGCTCTCTGTGTCTCCTGCCCAGCCCTGCTGACACTGGGTTCCTGCATCCTGGTGAGCCTGGACTCTGCCTGGTGAGATTCCAACAGGGAGCAGAGCCAACAGGAGGCTCACAGAGCTCTGGGCTTCAGTTTAAGCCCTGCAACAGCCAGTCTGAAATCCAGCACGTCTGAAATCCTCACCTGTAACACAACAGCCCAGCACATCCCACTCTGCCTCTGCCCAAACCTTTCCCCATCACTGCCAACACCACCTGCCCAGGTGATGCTCCCAGCCTCCAGAGAGGAGCACCCGGTGCTGGCTGTGGCAGCACCCACAGCACAGAGGGAAGGTCACCTTCCCAGCAAAGCTCTTGCATTTCCATCTCTATTTATTTGTTTCCTGTGCTTGCTGCACTCCCCGCGGCTCCGGGGCCATTTACATAATCGGATCAGAGGCAGCTGCACAGGAACAGAGCTGCCAGCCCTTCTTCCCAGGAGCACCTTTCCCTTCCCTGGAGCACACGTTCCTTCACTGGGGCACCCATTCCTTCCCTGAAGGATCCATCCCTTCCCCAGAGCACCCATCCCTTCTTCCCAGGAGAACCTATTTCTTCCGAGGAGCACCCATCCTTTCTTCCCCTAGCACTCCTCCCTTCCCTGAAGCATTCATCCCTCTCTCCCTGGAGCATCCACCCCTCCCCAGAGCACCCATCCCTTCTCCCCAGGACCACCCACCCTTTCTGCCCACAGCCACAGCACCAAACCTCACAAATCCACATCCACTTCCACAGAGCAGATCCATGAGGTTTGGTATTGCTGCTCTGGACACAGAGCATCCACATGCCAGCCCTAGCCCAGTGACGCTGGCTAGGATCTCTCCAGGAAAAGCCTGGCAGGCAAGGGCACTTCAACTTCTCCTGCAGGGAGCTCCTGGCCTGGCAAAAGCACCCTGTGCTGCCTTGGGATATGTGCTCGGGGATGGAGGTGGGATGAGCACGGTGTATTTTTACCAGGAAGCTCCCCGTGCTTCCCCGGAGCGATGTTTCATGTCCTATACAGAAGATTTTGGGACCTTCACACTGCACAGAGCTCCCCCCATCCCCCCACAAGAGGCTCCTGGCAGCTCCAGAAGGCATCAGCCCATCTAAAAGGAAAAATCAAGGCACAGAAAAGGATCCATGCTGGGAAAGGTGACACTGTGGCTGGGAGCCACCAGTCCCTGTGACGGGGCTCAGGCTGGTCCCCTCCCTGCTGATCCCCCCTTCATTGCTTGTCCCTCTTCTGCCTTTCCAAGCCAGCCCCTCAAAGTGTCCCCCTGCCCACAGCTCCGTCACCTCCTCCCAAAACAACCGGCTCAGCAGGGCTCTGGGAGAGCCACAACCTCCTCCCGGAGCTGCCCCGCTGCTCCCACCCTGCTCCTTCCAGCCCTGCCCCTTCCAGGGCACAGCCTGTCCCTCAGGCATCTCCTCAGGATGCCCATCCAAAGCTGAAGTACCAAGGGATGCTGTGAGAATGTGCCCTGCCACCCCCCAAGCCCCTCTTACCTGCTTGGGATTTTGGACAAGCCACGTTCCTGCTGTTTATCCCAGCACAGTGGTTTTTGTGGAATTTCCCACACTCCAGACAGCCTTGCTCAAGCTTTTATCACGCTGCAAACACCACAACCTCCTCCTCCTCTTCCTCCTCCTCCTCTCTGGGCTGGACACAGCAAATACAGCTCTGCTCATCCCTTCCCAAAGGCTGCTGGAGAATCCTCTCTCTGACAATTTCCTGCCCACACCCCATTGCTGTTCTGCCTCCTGACAGCAAACCTGGGCAGTACCAAGAGTCTGCTGGCACCTCCCACCACGCTGCCAACCCCATTCCCAAAACTTGGACAAACTCTCCATGGGGAAAGTGCTGCACAAGCATCCCCAAACTGCTGTGAAACACAAAAGAGAGACTCAAGAAGCCCTTTCCCCCATGGCTACAGAATCCTAGGAGTGGGAACGGGGAGGATGCTGAGACCATGGGGCTCTGAGTACCCTCCAGCTCCTGCTGGGAATTATTGTTATTTTTAAAGCCCACATCAAACACCACCCAACCTCTTTCTGCTCAGGGCTGGGACAGCACAGCGACAGCACTGCTCCATTCACAATTCCCTGAGCTCTGCCTTCATACATTATTCCAGCCTGATGAAGCCTTGGGATTGGGTTTTTTTAATTTTATTTAAATATTTTATTCAGTTTTGCTCTCTCTCACAGCTCCCCGGGGAAAACCAGGCTCCCCAGGAAGGGCTGTCTCACTGCCATGGAGGCAGAGCCACACTCCAAACATGACCTGTCTCCAAAAACCACTGAAAGCACCGTGAGGCTGCACAAGGCAGGAGCGGGGGTGGTGCCGGCACTGCTTCCTGACCTCCGACAACCCGGCCGGGAGAGCAGAGCCAGCACGAGACCCCGAGGGGGTTAAATCCCACAGAGACCCCGAGGGGGTTAAATCCCACAGAGAGCCCGAGGGGGCTAAATCCCACAGAGACCCCGAGGGGGTTAAATCCCACAGAGACCCCGAGGGGGCTAAATCCCACAGAGACCCCGAGGGGGCTAAATCCCACAGCCGTGTGGAACTCCAGCAGCCTCATGGAAGCAATGAGGATGTGAGGGATGTGGGACGTGGGTCTCAAGCTGCAGCGGGCAGCGGGCTCTAAGTGCTGTGCCAGGCAGGATTGCACCCACGGAGCAGGAGAAAGCCCCTCAGCATTGCCAACATCCACACCTCCCAGCTTTACAGAAATGACCGATTACATGGAGCAGGCTGTAAGGATGTGGCGTACCTGTGTCTCAGTGGGGTCCATATCCATGCCCTCTTCCCAGCTGCATCATCTTCCCAACTTCCCATGCCCTCAGCACGGCACCGAGCTCCGGCCGTGCTGAGCCCCGCGGTAACACGAGCCAAGGAGGGCAGGAGGATGGAGGAGGAAGAGGAGGAGGAGGAGGAGGAGGAGGAGGAGGAGGGGCAGAGAAGCAGCACTCACGTTGATCATAGCATTGGAGGTGATGCGGAAGAGCGTGGCACGCTCGTTCACCGCCTTGATCTTCTCGCCGCTGTCGGCCGGCAGGCGCAGGTTCTCCAGCTCGCTGAGCGAGCGCTGCAGGGCCGCGCCGTGCTTGGCGATCAGCTCGTTGCAGGTGCTCAGGTCCTCCAGCTTACTCGACAGGGTCTTCAGGGGGCCGTGCAGCTCGCTCTTGTCTGACTGCGAGGCGGGCTCCTCGTCACCCGAGTCATCTGCACAGGGAGGGATGGAGAGAACAGCGTTTCCATGGTTACCCCCGGCCGCTGAGCCCGGCAGTGCCGCGGGCAGGGACCAGGGACAAGGGACCAGGGACAAGGGACAAGGGACCAGGGACCACGGACCAGGACCAGGGACAAGGGACCAGAGACAAGGGACAATGCGGAAGAGCGTGGCACGCTCGTTCACCGCCTTGATCTTCTCGCCGCTGTCGGCCGGCAGGCGCAGGTTCTCCAGCTCGCTGAGCGAGCGCTGCAGGGCCGCGCCGTGCTTGGCGATCAGCTCGTTGCAGGTGCTCAGGTCCTCCAGCTTACTCGACAGGGTCTTCAGGGGGCCGTGCAGCTCGCTCTTGTCTGACTGCGAGGCGGGCTCCTCGTCACCCGAGTCATCTGCACAGGGAGGGATGGAGAGAACAGCGTTTCCATGGTTACCCCCGGCCGCTGAGCCCGGCAGTGCCGCGGGCAGGGACCAGGGACAAGGGACCAGGGACCAGGGACCAGGGACAAGGGACCAGGGACCAGGGACAAGGGACCAGGGACAAGGGACCAGGGACCTCCCACCTCCTGCCAGCACCGGGCTGGGGGTCGTGGCCAGCACGGCCCCCCCGTAGCACAGCGTGGTGGGAGTAGCACCCAGAGCCCTGAGCAGCCACAGGAACCGAGATCTGGTTCAGGGCTGGGTGGTGGGGGGGCACATGGGGTGCCACACACCAAACCTGCCCTTCCCAGGCTCACCGGGGCCAATCCACCCTGCACTGGGGGCTCTGTCAGCCCTGCTCGGGGCAGGGTGAACTGTGTCACCTGAGGGAAAGGTCACAGAGACACCAAGGAAAGTGACACCTCACCCAAAACTACCACCATATCTTCAGAGGGCAGAAAACTCCACGATCAGCACCTCAGCTTCAGCAAAAACTCCTCCAACCCCAGAATACTTAAAAGCAGGAAACTAACCCAAATCCACTCAGTAAGGGTAACAGAGCATTTCTGATCACCTCACTGTTCCCTCAGGAAGGAGGTGATCAGCCCCAAGAGGCAGCAGCACCCAAAGCAAACACAAAGAGAGAGAAGCAGGTCCTGGGCAGGGGCTGTGCCCCATCCTTATGCCCCAAAGTTTAGCCAAGGGTTTCCCAGGTTCTCCCAAAATCCAGTGAGGCCAGCAGAGCAGGGAGCTGCTCCTGTATCTCCCCTCTCTCAGTCTTCTATTTCTGGATTTCAGAGAGATGGGCACCAGCAAAACCTGGCTGCAGCTGCTCTGCCAGGTCTGGGGGAATTGGGGGAGTGAGAACATTCTCCAAACAATCCAGGGGATTTGAGGAGTGAGAACATTCTCCAAACAATCCAGGCAAGGAGCTCAGGGAGGGCTCTGGTGTAGCAAGGGAGCAGCAATTCCCTCTCAGTGCTGTGAGGAAAGAAGGAAACCCGTGATTCCCTGGCAGGTGGGTGTTTGGCTGCTATTCCTGGCTCATTGATAGGAGCTCTGCAAATGCTGTGGGGACTGGGAGAGGTGCTCAGGCACTGCTCAGACTGAATCCACAGTAAGGAAAGCAGAGGATGAGCACCCTTTGATGACTGTGATCCGAAGGCAAGGATCTGGATAAATGTGACAGGAACATCAGCTCGGAGTGGCAGCAGGAGCAGAGCACAGCACAGGGTCACACCAGGGCTCATGGTGAACCTCCCTGGAGTGGATGTGATGGGACAGGAGGCACAGCTTAGGCACAGTGCTGATCCTCCACAGCAGAACCAACCTCACTGCCCAAGGACAATGGGAGAAAATCCAAGGGAAACAGGGCACGGAGCAAACCCCAGGTGGCTCCACGAAGCACCAGGACAGTATCTCCCAGTGTCACCAGCTGGTCCCTCTGCAACCCAGCTGACAAACAGGACAGCAGCTGCTGGAGCCAGGAGAGGAAAAGGCCATAAAGGACAATCAGACACCCAGGGGAAAGCAGCTGAGAGCTTCCCAAGGAAGGTGAGCTGCCAGCTGAGGGGTGGGAGCTGGGCAGCTCCCACAGACAGGCTGGACAGGGGACAGGACTAGAGGTTCAAAAACACACCCAGAACCAGGGAAGTCTCCAGAACAAGGGGAAGGGGAACAGGAACAGGCAGGATTCCAAGGACTCCATGCCCGGAGGGTGCACAGAGGCACCACAGCGATGGCACAGGCTCCACCACAGGCCAACTCCAACAGATCTGGCAAGAAAACCGAAGCCACTTTTCTACCAGTAGAGAAAATAACGAAAACCTCCTCAAAGTCCATTTGCTGATACAAAAGTTTCAAGTATTCCCAAGATGCCTTCCACGCTGGGGCACACAAAGGGTCTCCAGCAGGGTGGGCACATTCCCCGGGCTTGGACATTGTCACTGCACCTGTCCTGAGCTGGTGCTTCCAAGGACAGAGCATTCCAAACCCTGGACACTCACTGGGAGAGGGACACCAGGCTGCTCCTGCTGCTCTGAGCTGTGTCCCTGGGGCTCTCCAGGGCACTCTCTGGCCTCCTCTCTCTCCAGGTGAGAAACTGTGCTCTTCCCACAGCGTCCCAGCAGCCTGTGCAGGCTGTGCCTGCACTCCAGAAGGCAGAACCTCTTCTCCACACCTCTGAGATCTGATCACTAACGAGGCTGGGTTTTAATAGCCAATTTATAATAAAGTCCCATGTTTTACAAAGCTCCCAAGAGCAGAAGCCAACACCACTGGCTCAGCTGTCACTGCCAACAGAAGGCTGAACATGGCAAAACCCACCTCTGAAGGACTCCAGGGGACAATAAAAAATTCCCAATTTTCTTTTTAGAAAAAATATCAAAAGTAATTCACAAAGACAATTTTATCTGCTTACAAGTGCTGCAAAAATTGTGCAAACAAGAGAAAGCACCTCTCTGCCTATCTCCAGACAGCATTTAAGCCCCAAATCCCTCCCTTTAATTTTCCCCTCATCCTGCCTTACACAAAATGCTGCCCCAAAGCCCTGGCCCCGTGGGCTGTCAGTGCTCTGGGATTTCCAGAGCAAAGCCTGGATCACCTTGCTCAGGTGCAATCCCAGATCACAGCCTGGGGATTTTTCACAGAATCACAGAATGCCCTGAGTTGGGAAGGACCCCCAACAACCCCACCCTGTCCATCCCTGGCAGTGCTGTCCAAAGGCTCCTGGAGCTCTGGCAGCCTCGGGGCCGTGCCCATTCCCTGGGGAGCCTGGGCAGTGCCAGCACAGGGATGGCAGAGCAGGGAGAGGGACGGGCTCTGCATTTGCCAGGACATTATTTCCTGCCCATTGACCAAGGCTGTGGGAACAGTCCCTGCCCGAGTGCTCAGCTTGAGGCAGGAGCACAGCGTGGCCCAATTTTTCATCACTGTGCAGAATTATATAAATGCCTCAAAGCCCAAGAAAAGAGGGAAGGAACCTGGCTCAGCCCAGTGATGCTGCTCATTCCAGCTGAACTGGCTGAGCTGAACATCCCTCACAAGCTCCTGCTATCCCAAAACTGCTGCTGTGGGATGCTGGAATGCTGGCAGGGTGGGCAGCAGGATACCACCTTCCTCCTCCTGCCTAGGCAACTGCAATCATAGAATCATGGAATGGTTTGGGTTGGGACCTTGAAGGTCACCTCCTTCCATCTTCTTCACATGGGCAGGGACACCTTCCACTAGAGCAGGAACCAATTAATAATATATATAATTAATTATATGATTTTATATATATATATATATATATCTCAAGCGACATAATTTGTTGCAATTATCTCAAATCAAAGCATGGGAAGAAGGAAATCCAATGTCACAGCTACAGTCAAATAAATCAGAGTAGCTGAAAGCAGGAATGATCACACAGAGCACCCAAACCTCCTCACTGCCATTCCCAAGGTGGAGCCCTGACACTGGCTCTGAAGGTGCTTCCATCTTTCTCCTGGGAGCTCCCAGGACAGCTGACCAAATCCCAAATCCACAGAAACATGAATCCTTCTGTTTCCTGCAGCAAGCAGCAGCCACTCAGACCTGCACCAGCTTTGGAGCAGCAGCCCCAGATCCCAGTGGAGGAGCCCTGCTCCCACCAGGCCATCCCCAGCAGCTCTCCAGCATCCCCAGCAGCTCTCCAGCATCCCCAGCAGCTCCCCAGCCTCCCCAGCAGCTCTCCAGCATCCCCAGCAGCTCTCCAGCCTCCCCAGCAGCTCCCCAGCCTCCCCAGCAGCTCTCCAGCATCCCCCAGCTGTACCAGCAGGACAAACTGCCACAGGAATGCTGTGACACCTCGTTCCCCCATCAGGGCTATTCTCAGCAAAGCTGCTTTGAATCACAGGATCATTTAAGCTGGAAAAGACCTCCAAGACCAGCATGCCCAACCTCTGACCAGCCTTTGCACATGACACACCAACTCCTGGAGTTACAGTGGAGACTATCACGAAGGGCTGGAGGAGAGAGCTGCAGCAATATTTACCCTCTTGCTGACGATGAAGGATTCACTCAGCCAGAAAGGTGGAAGAGCAGCGAGCCTGTGCCTGGAGGTCTCTGCTTGGAACCCAGCCAAACACCACAGCTTTGGGGATCCTGCCCTTATTCCAGCTTTTGTATCAGTTCAGACAGGGAAAAAAATGATTTGGCTTTGCTAAGGCTGGGAAAACACCCTGAAGGTCAGGAAATACCCACAGAGAGAGTCAATCCATGACTCCTCACTCGAGGACAGACCACAGGGGATTTGCAGAAGCCAAAGTGCAATAGGCCCAGCAAGATCACAGCACTGGGACTTCAACCCACATGGGGGGATCCTAACAGCACCTACTGAGGGTCACAGAACCTTCTGGAAGCTGCAAAAGCACAGATTCCTCAATACTTGGGAGGATTTAGGAGATGGAAGAGTGGGAGAGGGGAAACATGACTTCCACAGGGTGATGGTGAGGGACACCCAGCAGAATCCAACTGAAACATTTTCCAGCACAGCCCAGGAGTTTTAGTGATGGCTTTGAAAGGGATTCCAAACATGCAGGGAATGAGCAGGAACCAAAATAGGGGAAGTGAGGACTGGCTGACGTGGAGGATGCTCAGGGGCTGGAGCATCCATCCCCAGAGTGTCCAGGGAAGGGAATGGAGCTGGGAAGGGTGTGGAGAGGCTGAGGGAGCTGGAAAGGGGCTCAGCCTGGAGAAAAGGAGCCTCAGGGGGGACCTTGTGGCTCTGCACAGCTCCTGACAGGAGGGGACAGCCAGGGGGGTAGGGCTGTTCTCCAGGGAACACGGACAGGAGGAGAGGGAACGGCCTCAGGCTGGGCCAGGGGAGGGGCAGGGTGGATATTGGGAATATTTCTAATTATTGTCCAGCCCTGGCATAGCTGCCCAGGGCAGTGGTGGAGTCCCCATTCCTGGAGGGATTTAACAGCCATGTGGATGTGGCACTTGGGGACAT